GAGGGAACTCAACCTGGAGGAACACAGGCTCCCCTTGCCGTCATCTTTTTGTTCCCGTATCTGCCCTTGCTGTGATTCCTTTCTCATCTTCTCCTGCCCAAGTTCCTCCTTTTCTTCTTTCACAAGCCCGCTGCCCAGCCCCGACCCACTTCCTATGCCTCTGCGATCTCGTCTTCTCTTCCCACCCCCTTCCCTGCTTCACACTGCCTCCTTCTGCATCTCCTCCTCAGCGAGCGCTTCCATGTCTTCTGTCCTTGTCCCGGTCCTCCCCTCACTGCTCTCACCACTCTCTCTGCCTCTTGTCCCTGGTCCCTCCTGCATTCCTAGGTCAAGATCTACGTGCTCAGTTTTAGAGGTGAGGAAGGTTTGCGCGCTGGCTCCTATGCCACTACTGGGCGCGAGCGGGTTGGGGTGGACGGCTCACGGCATGGCCATTCCAGCAGGGTGACAGTACCTTGCCAATTGGAAGCGCAGAGAGGTCCGAGGGTGGTACATCTCCAAGGCAGCGATGAGGTCAAAGGCAGATGGTGCCAGCATGGTAACCAGGGAGACCACTACACTCACCTGCCAAGAGAACGCACCTGTCAGACATCAGGATCTCCACAACCTTACATACCAACCTTGATTACCTAAAGCTTGGTCGTAGCTGATATTTGGTCAGTGGGTAGTCCAAGGACCCTGCCTTGTCTAACAAGGACCATCTTCTCCAAATCTCTGCTGATGAGCCGTGTTCAAAAAGTCACAGCCTCTTATAATTTGTTTAGCCCTCACAGGAACTTGTCTTCATCTGAGGACATGTATGAGGGGGTACCACCCCCCAAAAAACCATGATATTCATCTATTTTTATGATGTGAGGGGATAATGCATTTGGAGTTCAGTCCACCAGGTCAGACTGTTCATCAAGCTTTCTATTTAGAGGTTCTGAAAAGAATGTGTAACAGTGTGCAACAAAAACGGCCTGATTTGTGGCAGATGGGGGACTGGTTTTGCCACCACGACAATGCACCTGCTCTTGCAGCCATCTCAGTGCGCCAGTTTTTGGCAAAAACCAGCATAATCCTCTTGCCCCACACACCTTACTCACCTGATCTCGCTCTGTGTAACTTCTTTTTGTTTCTGCAAAAGTAGAGGGCCATGAAAGGACAGTGATTTGATGAAGTAGAAGAGGTGAAGAAAAAAAATGAGGGAGGTTCTGTCAGCCATCCAAACAGATGAGTTTGGAAAATGTTTCCAAGAATGGAATTGTGGATTTGACGAATGTATTAAGTGTAATGGAGAGTAGAGTGAAGGTGATAAGGTTGCTTTGTAAAACATTTTAAATACATAACTTTTAAAAAAAATTTAGTTTTTTAAAATACCCCCTCGTATGATAAGACTGCTGTCCTCAAAGTGTAGTCCAAGCTACATGGAAAAACTTAGGAGGTAGAAGTGGCGTAAATGCCATCTCTTGGCTCTTTCTACCAAACTGATTCTCATCCTTTGGGATTTAAAAAATGAAGCATCTGGGCGATATGCATTCATTTGTCTGCAGTGTCCACTGATACATCTAAATGTAAAACTACTGTGGGTCCTTTAGCCATTTCCCTTGTACCCATTCCTATTGCACAACACTCAGCGATTTACCTAAATACGAATTGGAAAGCTATTCATAACCTTTCATTTGGTGCTTTTTTCTTCATGGGAATATTCACACATGGGAAAGACAAGGTTAAAACTAGATTATTTATGTGGAGGTGGTTCTGGAAGCATAATTTGTGACCAAAAGCTATGAGAAAACACATAGGTGTTCAAGAATTAGCAAATGGTCGAGCTTCAATAACATACAGTGAATACAATACAGCTGCCAATCATGACTCCTTGGTCAATAAAGTCAATTTCTGGAAATGTGTCAGGGAAGAAACAGAAAGTGGAAACCTGCTAACTATTTTAAGGCAAACTCACAGGTCAAAAAAAGATGGTGACTCAGTAGTCAACTGGACACCCCCCTGTCAGATCAGCTACAAGGAAGAGAAGAACCAGTCAGGGTGCAGTATAGCACTAATGGAACACACAACCTTCCTGCAGTTCTTCAATGTTTCCTCCCCCCACTACCATGACCCCAATTCTATCTTCCCAATCTGACTAGACCAGAGCATGTCCACTGGTACAGATAAGAGCTCGAAACACAGGGAATCCAGAAGAGATAAACCCCTCAGGACCAGTAAGGGGAGCAGCAATACTAGAGGGTAAAGGGGGTGGGGAGTGAGCGGGAACTGATCACAATGATCAATGTATGGCAATCCCACCCAGGGGGATGGACAGCAAAAAAGTGGGTGAAATGAGACAGCAGTGTAAAACATGCAAAAAAAGAATAATTTATAAATTATCAAGGGGGCATGGGGAGGAAGGAAGGGTGGGAGGAAAATGAGGAGTTGATGCCAGGGCCTCGAGTAGAAAGAAAATGTTTTGAAAAAGATAATGTATGGATTGAGATAAGAGCTGTAAGAGTCCCCAATAAAATGAAATTTTAAAAATCCCATGAAAGGCTGAAAAAGGATGTTGAGAATGTGCAAAGGTGCTTTTTTGGAATCAAATAATCTCCCTTTTGAGCTGGGAAACATTCTGTAGCCAAATCTTGGTGCTGACATTTTGACTTGAAACCCTTGTAGACCCTGTTTGTGTTTTTAAAATAATTTTATTGGGGACTCTTACAGCTCTTCTCTCAATCCACACATTCATCCATTGTGTAAAGCACATTTGTACATATGTTGCCATCATCATTCTCAAAACATTTTCTTTCGACTTGAGCCCTTGGTATCAGCTCATTAGTCCCCCACACTCACCCTCCCTCCCTCGTGAATCCTTGATAATTTATCTTTTTTTTTCATGTCTTACACCAACTGCTGTCTCCCTTCACCCACTTTTTTGTTTGTCCTCCTGGGAGGGGGTTATATGTTGATCATTGTGATCGGTTACCCTTTCTCCCCCCACCTTACCCCTCCCCTCCTGGTATTGGTACTCTCATTATTGGTGCTGAGGGGTTTATCTGTACTGGATCCCCTATATTTTGAGCTCTTATCTGTACCAGTGTACATGCTCTGGTCTATTTGGATATGTAAGGTAAAACTGGGGTCATCATAGTGGGGAGAAAGAATTAAAGAACTAGAGGATTGTTCTGTGTTTCCTTGGTGCTATACTGCACCCTGGCTGGCTCGTCCCTTCCTTGTGACCCTTCTGTAAGGGGATGGCCAATTGTCTGCAGATGGGCTTTGCATCTCTACTCTGCACGCCCCCTCATTCACAGCGATATAATTTTTTGTTCTGGGTCTTTGTTGCCTGATACCTGATCCCATCGACACTTCATGATCACACAGGCTGGTGTGCTTCTTCCATGTGGTTGCTTTTGTTGCTTCTCAACTAGGTACTCCCTTGTTTCTCTTTAAGCCCTTAAGACCCCAGATGCTATATCATTTGATAGCCTGCCACCATCAGCTTTCTTCGCCACATTTGCTTATACACCCATTTTGTCTTCAGCAATCATGGTAAGACCCTGTTATTGATGAGATGACTAAATTTCTTTTTCCCCTTAGAGGTATTTCTAGCTAATGAACTTAAAAAACATAGTGGAAACAGAAGGGCTGACCACTTGTGTCTATCTCTGGAGATGAGTATGGGGGTAGCAGGCAGTGGGTACCTCATTCTTTTCCCAGAGTGTCAGCTCCTTCTTGGACTGTTCCAGCTTCTGGGACCGGTCCACCACAAAGTAGATGAGATAGATGCTCCCAGCAAGTGAGAGAAGCACCAAGATGTTGGCAATGATCCTCAGACAGATGGTCACCGCCCTGGATGGGGAGGAAGGTAAGAGGATGGGTTGTCCTGACGTTGCCCTCCCAGCCTCTTTTAAAAATGTAACACAGTGTAGGGTCTTATAGATACCTCCAGTTTAATGCACATCTGGAATATGGAGTGAAAGGATTTAAACATGACACTGCAGAACGGCTGACTAATATGAGTCACAAAATGGGAGTGAACGTAGGAATCGACTGGGGAAAACTCATAGAGTAGAAGAGGAGCCCTGAACTGTGCCATGAATTGAAGAATGTGATGAACTCAACCCTGAACTGATTAAACCAAAACACCAGAGCATTGTTACACATCACCTCCCATTTCTCATTTCCTACGTGAGCAACAATGAATTATGAACCAATTAACCAGCATTATT